CTGCGAACCTCAGAAGGACTCCTCGGTGTCGACCAGTTCTGTACGGCTGAAACCTTCGAAGGATCCACCTCGATACCTGCCTGGGTAATCACATGATCCGGAAAAGATACTCGCTGAAGCCAGAACTCGCATTTGGAGAATTTGGCATACAACTTCTCTCGTCTGAGGGTTTCAAGGGCCACCCTCAGATGCTCCTCATGCTCTTTCTGACTCTTCGAGTAGATAAGAATATCGTCGATAAAGACAATAACGAACTGATCGAGGTATGGATGAAAGATACGGTTCATGAGGTCCATAAAGACTGCTGGCGCATTGCTGAGACCGAAAGGCATGACGACGAACTCGTAATGACCGTAACGAGTCCTGAAAGCGGTCTTAGCGATGTCTGACTCCTTAATCTTCAGCTGGTGGTAGCCTGATCGCAAATCAATCTTTGAAAATACACAGGCTCCCCTCAACTGATCAAATAAGTCGTCGAACCTGGGAAGCGGATATTTATTCTTGATCGTCAACCGGTTGAGATCCCGGTAGTCGATACACATTCGCATGGATCCGTCCTTTTTCTTAACAAAGAGAACGGGTGCTCCTCACGGTGATACACTCGGTCGGATGAAACCGAGTCGTAACAGCTCCTGAATCTGAGTCTTAAGTTCCTGTAACTCCTTAGGCGCCATGCGATATGGGGCTTTGGATACTGGACCGGCCCCTGGGATAAGATCGATAGAAAACTCCACCTGACGGTTGGGCGGTCCTCCTAGAAGCTCGTCTGGAAATACGTCCACGAACTCGCGAACGATTGGAACATCATGAGGTGTCCGCGCTTTCTGAGAATCCTCAACAAGGCTTACCAGATAACCCTGGCAGTTGCCTCGTCGCAATAGCTTAGTGGCTTTCGCCATCGAAACAACATGAGGCAGTGAACGGTTCTTGGAGCCGAAGAAAGTAATCGACTCGTCTCCCGGAAGATAGAGGGTGATATCCCGGTCATGACACCTGATGTCAGCATGATAAAAGGATAGCCAATCCATCCCGAGAATAAGATCGAAATCCTTCATCTCGAGAACAAATGCGTCGACAGTCAATACTCGGCCACCGATGGAAAGGCTAAGATCTGAAGCTTTAGCTGAGGTCACTATCTTTCGTCCCGAGGCTAAGCTCACCTCGAGAGGATCGACAGTGGTAACGGCGTGAACTGCGATGGCGTCGAGACACCGTCGTGAAATAAAGGTATGCGTCGCTCCAGTATCGAATAACGCAAACACAGGAATATCGTTGAGAACAACCATCCCGGACATAGTACCTGGCTGCTGTGCTGCCTCTGCCTGATCGACCGCGTAAACCCTGGCCTGCTGTCTCCCCCTCTGCTGCTGTTGCTGCTAAGGTGGCCTCTGTGCCTGCTGTCGTGGCTGCTGCTGCTGCGGTGGCTGCTGAGGCTGCTGCTGGAGTTTCTTCGGGCAACGACTCGCAAAATGTCCCGGCTCCTGGCAATAGTAACAGATGTCCTGTCCAGCACGACACTCTCCCCTGTGAAGTCGACCACAAGTCGGGCACGGTGGAATCGGCTGCTGTCTCTGTTGGGTCCTCCGGTCAGTCTGTGCACCCTTTCCCTTTCTCTTCTTCTCCTTGGCTGGCTGAGGGGCTGGTAAAGCTGGTGGGGCTGCAAATGGCTGAGCTGCGGCAGATGACTGGGCACAATCACGAACTGCCTCCCTCCTGATACTAGCGTCCACCTCCTGAGCGATAGAAACGGCACGAGCGTATGTCTGAGTCCCGTGTCCCACAATGTTATGACGGACTGCTGGGTAAAGTCCGTCAATAAACCGCTGCGCTCTCTGGGCCTCCGTGCGAACAAGATCCGGTGCAAAACCTGCAAGTCAGGTGAACTCTCGCTCGTACTCATCGACAGTACGAGTGCCCTGCTGAAGCGCTAAAAACTGGCGCTCCATCTCTGCCCGATAGTAGGAAGGGTAGTACTTGTCGCGGACTAGATTCTTGAACATGTCCCATGTACAACCTGCCTTTTCACCGGGACGCATGCTCCAGTAGGCATTCCACCAGAGCATTGCATCGCCAGTGAGCTGAAGCTGAGCGCAAACTACGCGATATCTATCGGGGCATTCCATGACCTCAAAGATAAATTCCAACCCCTGAATCCATTCATCAACGATGCGGGGTCTCCCTGTCCTGAAAACTTTTCTGCGTGATAGTCGCGAAACTGAGCGACTACCGTAGCCTGAGTAGGACCCTGATGATCGGGCTCTCTACGTGGCGGCATCTGGACATTGAGAAAGATTAACATTATTGAATACATGATGACATTACTGACTGATTACTAAGGCACACAGATCTCTTGACGAGTTGCCAAAAATGGCCGATAAATACTGACGTGAAACCTGAAGAACTCTAGAGTCATCTCGAAAGATACTAAAGTCTAGAGTCATATAGGAAGATCCTGATATCTAGAGTCATATCTGAATGCCTGAATTCCTGAATTCTAGAGTCATGTCCGAACTCTAAAGTCTGAACTTGATTCGAGCATCTTAACTAAAGTCCTGATCCTTGATTCTGAGCATAGACAAAGTAATATGTTTATAACTGAAAAACTGAATCAGCACTTACCTGTCGTCGGCGGGGCGTGAGCATGACGGTTCAGGTTTTTCTGGAAAGTACTGACTGAAAACTTTATCAGAGACGCAAAAACCGTGCTCTGATACCAATTGTAACACCCCTCCTTACTGTAAAATCAGAGTGCGCTAAAATTCGCAAAGTCTTTTTAAAAATAAACCTTTTTACTTT